GTTTTAGTGGGGCAATATTTAACCACAACACCAAATAATTGTGAAGTAATAATTATTAAATATTATTTTCCTTATAATTTTTTCTTATCTTCATTGTAATCATCATTATTATAAAGAAGGATGTTTTTGTTATGACTATAGGATTGCTGTCTACAAAGCTTTTGTCCATTGTGCGGTCTCATATTAAGAATTAGGTTAATTTGGGTAAAGGTCGAATGCCGGGTCAATATTTAACCACAGATATCGTTCAGTCAATGTCTGCTCTTAAGTGCAATGTGTGAGGTTAATTATAAAGCAGGTATGCTCTACCAACCTGCTCACGCTATTGTACTCTTTTGGATTAGTGTAGGGTACATTCACCCACCATTCGCCTAAAATATTTAGGTCGTTACACAATTTCCTTTTGCTTGGTAATCCAGTGGCCTTGATGTGGATTTGTGTTTTCATCCAGAAACCATCAAAGTGATGTTCATTAAACTGGAGGGGTTGGCCAATGTTTTATCTCCTGTTTGGTATTGACCTATATTTAATTCATATAAAAACATGAATTGAGAGTGTTATTCCAAAAACAAAATTGGTATTTGCCGTTAGCAATGCTTCCAAGAATTATATGCATGGATTTACCAATTGTTCTAAACAAAAGGGGAATTTTCCTTGTTCTCATTTTTTAAAGGAAGGCCAATTAATATAATATTAGGCCATATTTCCCAACCAATTTTTTTTTAAAAGGTTGATGTTTTTATTTTATTTCAATGGGCTATCTGAAAATATGTCAAAGCTTGTCATAATTTCTTGAAAGTAATAGTGTACATACATACATGAACAATGTTTTTGACACAGAATAGAAGGTAGGGAGGACTTGCTAGGCCTAACATTCTTGGCTTGTTGCTTCACTCGTCTACGGTTGTCATAAAACCATTCGTTAAAACCCATTGTCTTTTAACGACGAACCATTTGTTGTTTATTGATCTTTGGAATAGTAATCAACATATGCTTGTTCATTAGTATGCAGAAAAACACATTTTTACTTAAGAATCGCATCAAAAATCAACATCTTTTCAATTCATCAAAAAACTATTTTGGAAATAACAAAAATCGATCCGTTGCCAAAAATTAATGCAGACTGGGACAAGAAATAAGATTTATTTTAATTTCACCTGAATATAATTAGCTGTTATATTATTTGTACTCTCTGAGTTTGTCGCTATGTCTATTCAAATGCAATAAAAGTAGTACAGTATTTTTTTTATATCTAAAATTACGAACAAAAATTTAGGATATAGTATAGAAAAGAGAAGCGTTATTTCAACCTCGTATAATTCATATTTTTCAAAAATCCTTGATGCATTTCTCTGCAAAATAATAACTATCGACTGAAAACTTTGAGGCACCATATCTCTTGTATGGTTAATGGCTCTTGCTCCATCGAGCACTGTGCATAAATAATGGTGTGGCGAACTAGGGCAGTGAGAATCCAAGGGCATCGACCTAGATAGAAATATTGTTTTCTCTCAGGGTGTTTTCGTAGTTGATCGCAATTGGAACCTTGCTCCTATATGCGACGTGTTTACAAAGGATGAACGGAGGCTTCTTCTCCATCTGATGATGGGCTCTTCGAAAAGGCTGTTAAGAAATCGTTCACATGTAATTATTCCAAATTCAATACTTGTCGAGGTTCTTCACACTGTGCAACTCTTAAGTCATTCGAATTCATAATTAAAAACACCCTGTTGGATGTACAGAAGTGAGAGTGCTTGTATCAGAAGGCAATGTACCGTATTTGTCCACAAGCAGGCCTAAAAGTATCATATGTAACTGGTGATTTGAAAATGTTATATTTCATATTTTAAATTTTTATAATTGAAATTTAATATATATTTTAATCTGACGATATTTTTATATTAATTTAAAATTAATATTTATTTGAATCTGATGATCAAATGTAATTGAAAATATTATATTTTACATTTTATATTTTTATAATTTAAATTTAGTATTTATTTGAATCTGATAAATTTTTATTCTTAGTGCAATTTAAAAAAAATTAATTAATAATTAGTCTCACATAAAATCATAATTAGGAGGAAATTGATAAAAGTAGACATGTTATTCTGCTTTTGGAATGTATTTCATTTTTTATTTTTCAAGAAGGTATTTAATTTATAATCTATATTTATGTAAAAATATCACAAACCTCAATAATTAAAACCGGGAAAATCCTTTAGATTCAATTCATTTTCACTTCATTAAATTGCAAAACACACTCTGAAAATTAACCGTATATCAAACAAGTGAGCAAAGCTTATATTTGTAGTGAACTTCCGTAAAATTTATTTAAAAAAATTATGGTCATCAAAAAATTTCTTAAACCCAATTTATATTACCCAATATGAGTTTTACTGTAAATATTTTTAGCCATTGATTCAGTTGATAACCATTTTTAGAAACATTTTAATCGCTAGCGTAATTCTGTTTGCCGGTTGTTTGTCCGTTTGGTAAATGAAAGCCATTGAGACTGTATGTAACTGGTTTGTAGACACTGACTACATTGACATTTCGGTGACCTTTGATTTGAGCTGGAGCACATAATTTACTATGTTTAGAGATTCTGCTATACTGCTGAATCTAGGGCAACATGTATTTTATTCAGATTGTTTGATTCTAATTTAATGCAGGATATAACAGGATTATATATATTTAATAAAATAAAATGTTACAATTAAAATTGAGGAAATTTAAAAAAATATAGAAAAATTAATTTTTTAATTTTTTCCAAATGTACAGTATTTTTATTGTGCAATATATTTAATGATTTCGTTCATGCCATTTTTGGCTTATAGTAAGAAAGAAAACCTAATATAAATATGATAATAAATATTTGAGAAAATGTATAGTAGGATTCAAAATTCTGATTCTATTTCAATATATTTATTCTATTCTAATATATTTAGTTTATTATTGTTATAATAAAATCTAGGAATGGCATCGCCTTAAAAAAAACATTATCTAGGGTTGCATTCTAAGATTTTTTTTTTTTTTTTGTGGGGGTGAAATTGAATTGTATTAATATCAATTTGCTCATTTGTCATCAATTTTGAAAAGATCAAAACTAGGATGCCTGCGTTTGCACTCTAACATTATATTGTCACCAAACTACCCATGCTTTTTTATACCATTTATAAATGCAATACTCGGTTTAGTTTATCGATGTCGTGCATCATTAGGCGGAAACTCGCCCGAGGTAACTTCACACACACACACAAGAATAACGGTTGATGTTAGAATAATGTTGTATCTATCATCATTAAACATACGTGCGTACACGATAATGAATAATGATTACTAGCCGATTCTGAATTGTCTAGAGTCGCTGACTGCGGAGAATATTTGGCAGGTCAGTGAGTTAACCTAGATCTAATAACTGTGTTCCCTCATTTTTCTAAATTTCGTTAATGTAAATTTTTGATGGTCTTTTTTTGTCATAATTACCACTTGACAAGCACTCTGTAGTCGCATATGTTCAGTTATATTCGATTCAGATTTTTTTTGTTATGAATTAAAGCATTATTTTGCATCTCTAATCATTTCATAAAGGTCTATTCATACTATCAAATTTTATGTGAAAAATTTGTGCGATTTGCTATAAATAGACATGCTGTCATATCACTTCCATATATGTGCATGATGATGTCATATAACCATATATGGGCAGAGCGCATGTATTTGTTACACAAAATTTAATAGTGTAGATTGAGTTTGAGGATGAAGATTATTTTTATGTGTTGAATTTCTATTTATTTGTTAAGACTGGTTTTAACAAAAAAATAAATAAAATAAAATTATAATACAAACTGAACATTTAGTTGAGGCAGATCATAGCTATAAAGCTATTGTATTGTGAAATGAGTCACAGTATGTTTAAACTAAAGTATATTAAAATATCTGAAATGTTAAATATAAAGATATAAAATAATTATAAATGACCTGGTTGATACTATGTCGCATCTGATTTATGGAAACATTTTTACGTTTCAAGTTTTATGCAGGTGTTGTTAGTTCAAATGATAATTCATGACTTTTTAGTACTGCTAAGTTTAGTAATAATTTATAATGTCAGCATATTTGTTGTCCAAAAAATAAAACATTTGCGGACTATATACTAATTGAAGCCCAAACAATTATACAGTATAAGTAAATAATGGTTTTTAAATAAGATTCATGTTTAATACAATATTACCATCCCTGAAATTTTTTTCAAGTGATTTGTATAATCTTTTATTCAAGTTAATTGATTTTATCATTTATTCATGGCAACTCTCGACTGCGAATTAATGATTCTCTTGATAGTAAAATACAGCAGAAGCCCCATAATTTGTAGAGCATGTGAATAGAAGGTTGAGAAAACGTGTGAGCTTCGCATGTCTGCCTGACAAACCTACTGAACCATTTTTGGAAATCTCCTCCCTCCGGACCTAGACAGGTGTCAGTCCAAGCCCAATGGGCAGGAGACCACAGTTTATTTATGCCTTTGTTAAATTGCTTCCATGTTACAGGAATTTAGTTTAAGGCCTAGACTGTCCTTGGATAACTCCCCACCCTAAAAAATTTACCTTGTTGGAAAATGTACAATACTACCACTAGTAGCTTCTACGAAAATATTTGCTTGTCAATATTTAAACTTCGAACTTGAAGTTAATTATCACTACCTTCATTAAATATGCATGTCCTGGAAGTTATCAGAGCTGAAAATAGGTTAATGCCCACATTAATTTAGAGAATAAACACTGTGTACTTTGGATCCCAGACACTATATAATTATGTGTCTATAAAATTTTATAAGGTATTTCCAACTTAATCGTGACTTGTCAACATTGGCACTGCGTGCATTGTTCATCCGTATCACGTTTGAAGAATGTTACCCAAACATTCATGTTCTTATGTTCGCTGAATCAGTTTCAACTAAATCTAAACATTATTTTCATGTCTTTAAACTCTTGCAGAACAAAATGAGTGTAGCAACATCGAATGGATATCCAGTTTTATGCCGCGTGTGTGGCGATCGTGCCTCCGGGTTTCACTACGGTGTACATGCATGTGAAGGTTGCAAGGTGAGAAAAATTTGCTTTTTTGCTGAAAGTTTTTCAGTTAATTGCCATCAGTTAAGAAATTACATGTTAAACATTAAATTTAATGTTGGAATTTGGACAGTTCATGCCTATTTATCAAATTCTGATTATAAACATTGTTGTGTTATTTGTTTGTATTGAGATGTCTTTTAATTTTTTTTTCTGTTTGCCTTTGTCAGGGTTTCTTCCGCCGCAGCATTCAGCATAACGTCAAGTACAGAATCTGTAACAAGGGCGACGAGTGCCTGATCATGCGAATCAATCGCAATAGATGCCAATATTGTCGGTTGAAGAAATGTTTATCGGTTGGAATGTCAAAAGATGGTAAGTCTCCATACGAAATGTATTTTCGGTCGGATGATGTATCTTAAAAAACGTTAACTGGCCTCTAGAGATGTCTCCATAGATTGCATCACATTGCATTGTAAGCCATGCGACTAAACCTTGTGGTTACTGATCCATATACATTAAGTCATATGAACGTAAGCCATATGCGGCCTGAGCAATGCAACCCTCTGAGCTTTGCAACACTGAGACATAATATGAACCTAAGCCATGTGACCCTATGTATTTAGACCTGCAAATCTTATTGTACCATAAATACTAATTTTTTTATCAAGTACTCTAACATCTGTAATATTTCTTAATTTTTCACTCACATTTTCCCGTCTACATGCAATATGAGAGATATAATTCATGTCAAATTTCATATCGTGTAGCTGTGCGTCTTGGTCGGTGTCCAAAGAAGTGCAAGCCATTAGGCACACCAATCCCATCACCGCCACGTTCTCCCCACGGAGACAACCAGTCAAATCTAGAAGACACGCAGATGCGAATGGAACAAACTGGCCTCTAGAGATGTCTCCATAGACATGTGACCCTATGTATTTAGACCTGCAAATCTTATTGTACCATAAATACTAATTTTTTTATCAAGTACTCTAACATCTGTAATATTTCTTAATTTTTCACTCACATTTTCCCGTCTACATGCAATATGAGAGATATAATTCATGTCAAATTTCATATCGTGTAGCTGTGCGTCTTGGTCGGTGTCCAAAGAAGTGCAAGCCATTAGGCACACCAATCCCATCACCGCCACGTTCTCCCCACGGAGACAACCAGTCAAATCTAGAAGACACGCAGATGCGAATGGAACAGCTGATACTGAGTATTCATGAAGCACAGAAAAAAACCTCGTGGGATGGTGGAGTACTAGGCAGATGGAATGAGAATGTTCCAAATATGGTAAGACCAAAAAAAAAACATACGATCTCTCTTCTAAAGCCCTGTCCAGACTATCAACATTTTTTTGACAAAAACATGTGACATGCCTAAATATGGTCATGATGACATCACATCATGACCATATATAGGCACATCATGACTATATATGGGCATACAACAGTTTTTTGTTAAAGAAAATTTGATAGTGTGAACAGAGCTTAAGATTGTTAAGGCCTGTCCACACTATCAAATTTTATTTGACAAAAAATGCAACTTGCCTAAATATGGTCATGTTGACATCACATCATGACCATATATAGGCACATCATGACTATATTTGGGCATACAACAGTTTTTTGCCAAAGAAAATTTTATAGTGTGGACAGAGCTTAAGATTGTTAAGGCCTGTTCACACTATCAAATTTTATTTGACAAAACATGCAACTTGCCTAAATATGGTCATGATGACATCACATCATGACCACATAATATGCACATCATGACTATGGGCATATTCTCTTGTCAAATTATTTTTTTAAATTATGACTTAATTATTTTGACAATACTTTGATTGAGCCATAGTGTGGCAAAAAATTGGCTATGCGCAGGGACTTTTGCAAATTAACCTAAACGTAATATCCAGACATTTTTAAAATTCAACCTTTGACACGCAGTAATTAATTGCTACAACTGGTGATGTTAAAAATAGAACACAAGATTGGCACGTACTGTAATCTGCCTGCTGCGAAAGCGAAAATGACCATAGTTACCGTATGCTGTGTCTTATGTTATCACAGCCTCTCTGCTTGAGCCATGCCCTAATCTTCTTTCTTTCGTTCTCATTTCTTTCATTCCTGTTGCCAGAAATAATCAGTCGGTATTAGAAAATTTTATTGAAATATTCTGAAAACAGCATATAGTTGTTGACCTTTCATTTAGTAAAGATCAATTAAAACTGAATGAATGAGGAATGGGCGATACGTGCTTGCCCTCTAACTCCAAGGTCCTAGGTCTGGTCCCATCACCACGTAATGTTGAATTGGAATGAAATAAAACGTCTTTAATCTAGATTAAATATCACTAATACTTAGAATTATACAAGGATTTCAAGGAATGAGATATTTTTATTGGGAAAAAAACACTGTTCTCCTGGCAACCTTTTGACTTAATTTTCATCTCAGTATTGAACTGATTAGAACGTTTCTGACCGGTGTTTCAACTCCCACTTAAGTAGGGTTTCATAGAATTGATAACAATGGCTCATCGGAAATCCACTGCTGACAGCTAATGGAGGAATTGTATGATGGTTAACTGTCTAATAAGGGATTTGATATCGTCGTGTCCTATATAATTTATTTTCTCCTCTAGGGGTTGTTGGCGAGTACATCAACCTCTTAATATGTTTTTATCCTTGGTTTTTTTTTTCATCTTTACATCAATTTCAACCCATTAATATAATCAGTGTTTCCTTGCTTGAAAGTTGATGCAGAGTGTGTTGTTTTAGCCTTGTACACTACCACAAAATATAATGTCTGTAAATCATTTGAGAAAAAGCCTTGATTTGGATGGGTTCCCTTT